CTGTCTCTTCAGACTTGGTCTCTTAGGATCATCCACAGGTACCTATACTGTAGATAGGTCTTAGTCATCAGGTCTGCTCCACTTCCTTGTTGCCTGCTTAGACTCTTGGCACTCTTAGGTGAGCAGACTTAGTCAGCCTGTGTTGCCCTAACAGCAATGAGCTGGTGCCCTGACACGAAAGAGTTGACATAGCTTATCCTCAAAGAGGAGATGCTTTTCAGACTGTAACACTGTTGGCATCTGGCTATAGTAAACTTGAATGTATTCATTATTTCTGCCTTCTTGCTGAGTGTAGTTCAAATGATATCAACTATTGCAAGACTGGCATTTGAGAGATGTCACAGAGACTGAGTAAGCCCCATTGTTGAGTGTATACAGTGCAGCAGTGTATCATTGTGGATCATAAAGAGCTGCTTGATATCCAGTTTGAATAAAGTGTGGGCAGGAGAAATTGGTGCAAATGCGGGTTGGTGGGTATAACTCTTCAGCAGCTGAGGAGATATATTATTTAGCTTTTATTGTATTATAGGTACTATATACTACTAACCAAGCTCTGTGAGGTGTGCATATGTCTGGAAGGGGGTGAAATCATCAGGAAATGATTGTGTTAGGCCAGTAACATCCTGAGTGGGATTCCAGAGTAGGGTGTGAGATGCTTCCCAGAGTGCCATTGTTTGGTGATCTTGTATACTGAGAGCAGTGGAAAGAAAAGCAAGAACAGTGTGAGGAAGGGTTGGGGGGGAGTTGCTGCTGCTGTGAGGGTGCATACTTCCTGCCATGCAATTTGAGTTTGCAAGCACCAAGCTAGTGCAAGAAACAAAAGAAATTGCTCTGCAGTTATTCCTTGAAGGTGTTGCTGCATGCTGGAGAGCTGGTTAATAAGTTGATAGAGGTCCATAGTAGTTGAATATAAAATGCTGGAAATTTCACAAAGTAAAGATGAGAGGTGGGAGTAAGTATCACGTGGAGTTGAACTGTATTTTCATTAATTATATTAGAGTAAGCCGCTTAAGGCGGGAACAAAATAAGGGTCCCTGGCCGGCATCCGGATTCCGGATTCCGGCATTTGAATTCCGGATTCCGTGTCGGGGACCCTGGGAGTACTGACGCACGCGTCCCGGAATCAAAACTTTGAAAGAAGCGCACATTCCAAAGCGCAGGGAGGCGCGACGTTCGTGTTCCCATCTCTCAGTGCCTGCCGTCGCTCCTTGCTTTTACCTTCGTCTAATCAGTGTACTCTCTGTAAGACAGCTGCGACGGCGAGAGATACTATGGCTTCATATGGGTCGCCTGTCACACCCACATCGGCCAACGGAAAGGGGAGGGGACCCCCCGTGGTCAAGATCAAGACGGGCATCGTTCATACCAATACCGTGGAGACGAAGGACGGTCAGAAGGTTCGTTTATGTGCGTTTTAGCTTCTAATGCGATTCTGACACACTATAGGTCCGAGCCAGGATCGACCCTTCACTTGTGCGTCCAATGACCTGTGCCCTGGGATACGCGTTTCTAACTCTGTGCCCCAGGCAACCTCCGAAGTTGTGCGCCAACTATGTTTGAGCCTCAAGCTCGCTGAAACCTCCAAACTATTTGCACTTCGAACGGATACTGATGAGCTTGTGACGGATGACAACCTGAGTAGAGTCGTGAGGGACAAGACACCGCTCAAGTGGGTTCATCGTTCGGGACTCGTATCTCTAGCTAAGGGCTTTTCAGGTTGACCAACGCACCTGGTATCGATGCTGCCGAAATCGTCTCGAAGTTGCAGAGCCGGGATGAAGTGAATGTTCGGCCAGCCCTGAGGGAATTAAGGAAGTTCATCAAGGCATGTGGCATGTACGCTTCTAAGTGAGGTTATTTCGTTGACAAGTCAACAGGAGGACGAGTTCCTGTTAGCCTTTCTCAACCGCGATGGGCTGCGCCAACTCCTTGATATCATTCAAGCATATCACGGGAACATTCTTTCTGTAAGAAATCTCTGTGTCTATAATGGCATGGCCTGACACTGTACGCAGGCAGCGCTCACCGCGATGGACAACCTGATGGAATTAGACAGAGGCTGGGAAAACTTGCCATCAACATTCATAACCCGAGTATGTTCTCGTTTGTTTTCTCGATTCTTCGGCGTCTAACGAAATCAGATTGTTGCCATTATCACTACAGAGAATTCCATCAACGTCTCACGCCCTGCCATCTCTATTCTCAAGAAACTTGTCGAGGCTGATCCTCGCCACAACCCGGCACCGGGTCCCAGCTCGTCACGAGGCACGTTCAGCAAAGGCAAGGCACCTCTGACTGTGTACAACTATGGATTCGACGTAGTATACGAGCAGACTAGGGTTCGTCCCGCGTTCTTAGAGACCGTTGTGGACCGCCTTGCTAGCCCAGAAGCTACGACCGCCTTGAATAGTCTTCGTCTTATTAATGCGCTGATTGCATCGGCGACCGATGAACACTGGGAGGATTTCATTCGACAACTGGAACAATTGAATGTTCGGAAGAAAGTGATTGTGCGTCAAACTCCTGACACGTGTATGCGCATGAACTTACATCAGGTCCAGCGTTTAATGGACAACAACCATGGAGATGATCTCTCTTCCTCCATTCTTGATTTCCAGTCAAACATTGCCCGTGTCACATACCGGCGTAAGACGACACCCGTGGACACCGGCAATGAAACTCATCGGATAATGCTGAATCAGATTCTCCTTGCTGCCGATCTGCCTGCGGGTGATGCGGAAGGGGACAAATGGTCAAGGCTAGGATTTGACAGTGATAATATGCCCGCTGAATTTGCGAGGGTTGGCGTGTTAGGACTTGAATGCATGGTATGTTTCCGTTCCCTTCGATCAAAACTGAATTGAAAAAACTGAATTCATCGGAAGCATGATTTGGCTATGCGCGATCGTGAAGACTTCTCAAAGGTACTTTCGACCGTGAAACGGGCGAAACCACTTCCATTTACGCGGGTGAATACAGATGATTCTGGCACAAGCAAACCGTGACCCAGAAAGGCGCTGTCCTTTTGCCCAAGCATCGAATGAGGTTGTAGAGCTCCTGTCGGAACACTGGAATATATTTTCTGGATGTAAGCGGATCTCTTCATTGCCGAATATAACGTAGTCATCCTAGCCGTAGATTCCACCTCAACGTCATACCAACCGTTCCTCCTTGCATTTCACAGAGTGCATAATCTCACTACGCGTTTCTTCCTCCGGTGGGTTCCGACGCGTCGTAGTCCCAGGGTGATATTCTGACGCACACATCAGGATGTGGAACGACAGTATGGCGGCTGTGTACGACTTTCCCCGAGTAGCGGCGCTTGTTCGTAGCCAGTAAGTGTCTTGGCCTATGCAGTCTCGGGCCGTGCGCTGATGCTGGATAAGGGTAAAAGTCGCGCTGAAAAATGAGAGCACTACGTCCTGGTTTGAAGTCGAACGCGAAATGCTAGAGAGCGAGTATCGTAAAGTCCGCGATCGGCAGATGAAGGAGCTTGAGCTCGAAGACGACCTGCTCAATAAGGCTCCTATTCGGTATGTGTTGCGACCATCGTGCTCTATTACCGAATTAACAATTAACCACCTCGATAGGAAATTACGAGAGACTTTGTACAGTGAATCACTCAACTTTGTACGAGACCAGCGCTTCCAATGTCTTATGGACGGTGCCTGGTTCGTCAACGCTGTCCCTCTTGTTACGGCACAGAAGGACAGACCACAGCGGGCATGGAGGTTCCTACGCCTGGTATGCATGTTAAGCACGGCAAAGGATGCAGCTCACGCGAATACAGGACAAGACGAAGAAGTATCTCTATTATGTGGACAGCCCTGTAAAGATGCAAATCCGAGGCGGGCTGGAGGACCTACCAGAGCGCAGTATGTTGATTTGCTCCTCTCCGTTCCAGAGACTGACGACTCGTCCAGTCGAGGTCTCACAGATTGCAGACGTACAATTGCACAGCGGTGCCTCCGCCCCAGGACTCCTTCCCAACTCCCAGTCCGACATCCACCCGCTCAACGGACTGTCCGCACACCCACATTCCTTTTCCCTCATCAGCGCCCAGGGTTACAGTCTAGCAGATCAAGTAGCCGACAGCGGGGCAACCTTCTGCGACTGGGTAGACGGTCTGAACATGCTCCGGCGAGACGGCAGCGTAGTACGGAGAGAGACGCAGGATATGGTCACCGTAAGTCTCGTGTCCACCACTCGGGCTACAACTAACACGGAAAGCAGGTACTCACGGAAATCGGCCTGAAGATAAAGCTGCTCGACCTTACGGGCGAGAAAGTCGATATACCTACGACGCTGGCGTACGAGCCTCCGCCGGACAACCTCGAGTTCTTCTTTGCTGATTGAGGCTGTATAATCTCCTGTTGTGCTGACTTGTGGGCTGCTTCCCTGCTGGACTAAGTGGACGTGGTAATCTTAATGCCGTATATAATTGTTAGTCGGGATTGGGCAGTGCCTAATATTTTTATTCTCACACTGCAATGTTATCCCTTTGCTCCGCGCGCATCTGTTCACCTTGTCATTGTCAGGCAGAAGTCCGTAGGGCTAGAAAGACGTCCAATCATTCATTTGTTCCTACGAAAATACATGCGTGGTTCACGCTACACACCGGACAAAAGGGGAAAGGGAAAGGGGGCGTTACACCCAGAAGAGAACAAGAGAACACAAGACGGACAAGAAATGGTAGGGAAACAAGGGTGCAACGGTTGTCCCGAGTGCAGGCATACAGGGAAAAGAATGTGGGTGCGGGAAGGCGACACGTCTGGCTGGTGAGTGTGCGGTAGAGGTGGTGGTACAGTGGACGGCGGACGGCGGACGGCAGACGGGAGAGGGGGAGCAAATGAAGTTTGAGGATGAGCCTCGTCCGGGTTGAGAAGCGGGAACGCTGCAGATGCTGGGTCGTTCGATGCGTTTGAGTCGCGTTTGGCAGGTTTGGGCGGAGGCTGGAGGTGTTGTGCAAGGACTGACTGCTAGCAGGAGCAGTAGAGAGAAAGTGACCTGCGGCAGAGCCGGCCGGGTTCTTTCCCAAGCCATCATTCAGGCCAGAGCCGCCGCCTCACCAGATCAGGACCCAACCTCGCTCACCGCTCAGCGCCTACCAACTGCCAGCTCCGCATCAGCAGCAGACTAAGGACCCCCAACCTCCCCCAGCATAGGCACATACTCCCCCTTCTCCCTTAACAGCCTCTGCAAGTCTACGAAAGCGAATGCGCCACCTCCGGCCGAGTCCTGATGATGTGGGAAAAACAGGTCGCTAGGTTCGGGGAGGAGCGTGTGCGGGCGCGGGTAGTCGGCTTGCGCTGGATAGGGGCTGTGGGGTTCTTCGACTGGGGGGGAGGGGGACGGTGGGCTCCAGCTGGAGCGGAGTGGGTCTGGGTAGTACGTCCCCCCGGGGAAGGCGGACGCTGATGCTGATGCTGGGGTCGGATACGGGCTCGGGGAGTAGGGCCCGGGGGAGGAGGGGATTAGCAGGTGGAGGTCTGCGTACCCCGGCGGGCTGGGTAGAGGGTGTGCGTGTATGGGCGAGAGATGGGGGAGAGGGGGAGCGTATAACGGGGATGTGGGGGAGTAGGCTGCGGAGAGCTGGAAGGGGGGTACGATGGGTAGGCTGTGTGGGTGGAGGGGGAAGTCTGGGAGGTCTGGGTCTAGGGAGAGGGAGAACTTGGTTAGGTCTTGATCTTGGGATGATGGGGATGGGGGGAAGTCTGCTGGTGGTGAGAGGGGGGGAGCGGGCGTAGGACCAGGGGAGAAGTAGGCGTTGGGCGGGGGTGTGAAGCGTAGTGTTTGTTCGCCCCAGTAGGCGCTGGGGCCTGAGCGGCGTCGGCGGGACTTGGGATGGGAGGGAGAGACGGGGGAAATGGGAGGAGAGGGATCTGGCGCTAGACGTTTGTTGTTCTGCGCTTGGCTTGGTGGGGGAGAAGTGGGATGTTGACGTCGTCTATGCCTGAGGAGGACGTCGCTGGAGAGTGTGAGCTGTGGTACATGATGGGAGAGGACGGGGAATGGACGTACCTCCTTGCGAACTCTTTAGTGCAATTTGGATATGGACACTTGAAAGGGTACACATTCTCATCTGTGAGAGTGTGTGAGCTGACCTGAGCCTGTACGGTACAAGAGAGGGACTCACGCTTCCTCGCGTGTCGTCTGAGATACTCTGCTCTAGAGTACTTTGAACCGCACTTGTCGCAGTCGAACGTCTTGCGCACTGGACCTTCGCCGTCTCTCTCCGTCAGGCAGGGGATATGTGCTGCGGTCATCGTCGTCGTCGAGCAGGAAGGAAGGGACGGAATTGCAAGGGCAGAAAAGGGCGTTAAGGGGATGAAAGTGATCCGGGGATGAAAGCGTGTTTATAGCGGGGAGGCGATAGGATCCGGTGAGGGGAGAGAAGGGGGACGGTGTAATGTCCGCACGGGAATCGATGGACAATTGAATAGGAATCCAATCAGTTCACATCAGAAACTTGTCTCAATATATCCTTTCCCTGTTCTTCCCCTTTTTCCCTTTCTTTCCCCTTGACAGTGTGAGAGTTGGCAACTAAGGTGTAAGGTGGGGAATAACCTGGGTTGATGTTACTCCGTCGCCCTCCAGTTGCAACTCACTCAAAAGGTGGACAGTCAGCCAAAATGGACCGACAAACCCCGGCCGGTGGGGGTCGGCCGCTCGGCGTGATCGGCCCGGCGGCACACCGGCACGGAGGGAACATGTGTCATGTGTACCAAGGGGACCCCAAGCTATGGGATCAGTCCCTGGGACCCCGTAACGTCATCCTTGTTGCGTGGCACCTTGTGGAACCCTTGACCACGGTAAAAGGCACAACCAATATCAACAATACCATCGCAATATTCACGCATATCCTTATCCTTCCAATCATCCTGGTCTGATTATCCCTTCCTACTTGCATATTCTTATTATATCTTCTGGCGACGAACTGCCAGCTGGCGTACATCTGCAGCTGCTTGACTGTGCAAGTCGCTCATGTTCAGGCTCGGGCGCTACCTGCGCATCCCTACCTCATCGAACGATGAGAACGCACAACCAGAGCAGGGGGACGAAGATCCTCTCGCAATCGAACTGCGTCCCTTGAGTTGGAAAGACGAGCTGTCTTCATCCCTCGACGCATCCCTGTGCGCCCATCTCCTTCCCTTACACAATGACTCATCATCGTCCACCAGGTCCACCCGTATACTCCTCTTCCTCGCCCCAATATTGCCCAACCACCCCCCTTCCTGGCTAGGCATGCGCAGGCTCATCCTCCTCTCTCTCCTCCTCACACTCCTCCTCCTCATATCCACAATCGTATACCTTCGCACAGGATCAATAGCCCTCGTCACAGAACCTCCCTGTCAGAACCCTTTCCGCCTCCCCGGTACACTGCACGCCAACCTCGAGGACGAGTCCGACAACTATTGGACCCCGTCAGGCAACAGCGCTCCCGGGTACCCATCCCATTGCCCGCGAGACCCGCCAAGACTGCTCGAATCCCTCCGCTCGTTCGAAAATTCGACCAACTCCGCGCCTGTACCGCCCGAGATCCAGGCTCTGAGGAGACGCACCGTACTCCTGTTCGGGGACTCGATTGACCGGCTTCATCTGGAGCACTTTTGTTCCTTCCTTGGGCTGACACCGCGTGTGATCCGCCCGGGGGACAGGCTCTACCCGCCCTCGCTCACACGGTTGGAACAGCAGCTCGCGGACGCCCGAGGGCGCGAGTTCGGAACAGACCGCTCCAGACCATGGGCATGTCATGTCCCCCGTGCGGACCTGTTGCTCCTATGGGTATTCTTCCCAGGCTCAGACGACGGGCGGAGTACGCCCACGCCGCCTGCGATCCCCGGGCACCTGGCGCCTCCCTCTTCCCCAGCAGAAGGGGACTGGGGCCCGCGCGCCTTCTGGCCATCTACGAGCGAGCACTTTTACCCCCCTCTCGCGGCTGAAGAACGCTGGGATAAGCTTGCGATGCCCCTTCTTACGCGGATGAAGCGGAGCCGGGTGGACCTAGCTGTGCTTGGGCTAGGCGCGTGGGACCTGGATCTAGCGAAGAGGCTGGACAACCTTAGTGCTCGTTGGGTCTCCCAGCAGCTGGATGAAAATGCGGATAGAAATAAGGAGGAACTGAGGTTGACGGAGGTGGTCATCCGCCAGCGGCTGAGTGACGAGTTTGCACAATGGGTACGGGAGAGGACAGAGTCGATCGTCCACCACCTCCTGCGTGCCCTGCCCCAGAGCACACCGCTCTACCTCCGTCCTCTCGGGGGGACACCCCAGTCGTACAGCTGGCCATACCTTATCTCTTCCCCCCGGGTAGAACAGATCGCCCAGCTCACGCGGGAGGTCGTGGCCCAACATAGGGAGGACGGGCATACCTGGTTCGGGGGACGCAAGAGGTCGAGAGTAAGGATGGATAACGGGGCGGAACATGTGAGGGGGAACGAGCATTGGGAGGATCATGTACATCCTGGGAAGCTACCGGGCAGCTGGGTGTGGAGCGAGTGGATGCTGTATGGTGAGCCTGGTGTTTTACGGATGCGGATGTGGGCTCATTGGAGGGATATGTAGCGCTCAGCCGGTCGGCGCAATGAGATTGGCTGCGTTAGGAGGTAAAAGGGCTTTGAGTGAGGTTCGGGGCTGTCTTACGACGAGGATACTGGGATATGGAGCGGTCGTGATCTTGTATATGTATAGGTACGTCGCACCTACAGTTTTCTGGAGCCAGCTGTTTCCTACGTGCCATTCAGTGATTCATGAGGAGCCGGCATGTAGCATAACGGGTCAGGGGCGCGGCCAGTAGTTGGTATGCTTATGTCGAGTCGTCGATTGGGGCAGAATAGATAACGTGGCGTGGATTGGCCTGCCGCAGGCCAATCTGTCCCTATATACATATAGGCTACATAGATAGTCTAATGGAATCAAATTCCGGTGCCTTAAGGCTGCGCAAGGGTCCTGCACTGCCAGTCTTGGCGCGAACTCGACACCATCCCCTCTCTAGCTCTTGAGCATCGACCACGATGCTGCTGGAGGGCAATCTGTGCCATCCAGCCCCTTGCTTCACTCCTTCCTCACTGTCAACTACTGTCAACCATATTGAGGCGTCCTGGAGATGATTCTGGCTGGTTTCTGGGCTGATCTGAGCTGTTCTTGGGCTGGATGGATGGTTTTTTGTGATTTTGAGACGGAATTTGCTTTCTGGCTCTGCTCTGTGTCTGTCGTCTTCTGGGATTGCTTCGAGTTTTGGTGCGTCCTGGTAAGGCTGGTGTGTACTGCATTATGGACCTCCATCTGGAGGACTGGACATGCATATGCAATCAGTGGACCACCTTTTGCATCGGATTTACTAACTTCACACATCTGTGCAGGCGACTGTTTGGGTTGCTCCGGGGCTTCAGGTTGAGGGAATCGGACCTCCGTCTGGAGGATTGTAACCCAAGACCTGCAGTCTTGGGGTACTGTTTGTGTTATCGGTTTAGAATCGAGTCTGTGGCCTTTGTTTCACTGGAACAGTTTGCGGAATTCCGTGATCTTGACCCATGGGTCATGATCTCCGTCTTGGCATAACTGTTCACTGTGTATTCTGTGATTCGTCCTCTGCAACCGTCACTGGTGCAGACTGGGCTTTGTCTTCTGCAACCGTCACTGGTGCAGATCTGGTTTTGTCTTCTGTAACCGTGACTGGTGCAGACCCGGTATTTGGATTGGCAAAGCGACCGATAATTCGTATTGAAGGCATGGCACGGACAACAGCCTGTGAAGCGGCTTCCTTGTCTTCCTTCGACCACTGCCGTTGTGTTGCCTTTGGCAAGACCCAAGCCCGATGGTTTGTATCATCTTCTCGGAGATGAGCAAGTCGAAGACGGTTTCCATTCACCAAGCCTGGTCGTAAGTGTCCACGTCTATCCTTCAGTTGATAGGTTCCCTTATCCAGTTTTGTAGTGATCACAAATGGTCCGAACCAATGTGCATCACCCTTGTTTGCAGTTTCATTCCAGAGCAGCACCTTTTGACCAACCTCAAAAGGCTGCTGTGTCCCTTCCGTCCCGATATTGAGTTGGTGATCCCACCGCTCTTTGTCTGCAAGTGCACGGATAGTGCCTCGCTCCGAAGCTTCTTCTCGAGCCTTCTGCATTTGCAAGTACCGTTCCGAGTGCTCTGCATCCCCTGGGAGTGCAGCATCTGGGGCACGGAGAAGTGGCTGGTCAAATGGCAACCGAGGCTTTCGACCATACAACAACTCAAATGGTGACCACTTGGCTGTGGTTTGCTGTCGGACTCGAGTTGCAAATAGTGCAGCATCAAGAATTCGTTCCATGGAGTCGGATCTCCTGTGGTATTCATCTTCTTGAGATACGACTCAAGGATCCCATTGTACCGCTCCATTTTCCCATTGGTACGTGGATGATATCCTGAAGTAGTCAACCGTCTGATCTTTGCAATCTTCAGGAATTCAGACACAACCGGAGCAAGGAAGTTCTTTCCACGGTCCGTGAGGATTTCACTTGGCACTCCATAGTGCATAACGATCTGGTCCCAAATCTCCCGGGCAACTTGTTGGCCTCTGGCCTTTCGCATCGGAATTGCAATGGGCCAGCCCGTGGCATGATCGACCATCGTCAAGATCCATTTATGCTTGTGACCGTCTCTGGTCTCTGGCATTCCGATGAAGTCCATTCCCCATCGCTCAAATGGTTCAACTGGTGGAAGCGGGTGTTGTTCTTCAAACGCCTGTCGTTTCCTTGGATCGGAGAAGATTTGACATTGTGGACATGTCCGACAATATGTCTCACAATCTTTTCGTCATCCAGGCCACCAACCCTGTCCTCTGAGCAAGTCAAGCATACCGTTGACACCCCGATGGCCATACTCCTTATGAAGCACATCGAGTAATTCTGCACGGTGCAAGAATGGGATAAAGGGTGAAGACTCGTTTCCACTTGGCCCAGTAAACACAAGTGTTTCAGCAACTGTGTCATATCGGAAATCACCAGCTTGTCTCTTGGCTTCTTTGAAAAGGTTTTCTGGGACTGAGGCCGGAATTTCTTCATTCTCCAGTACTGCTGGTACCAGTAATGGGCAGTCCGTCTGTTCGAATGAGTTGAAATCAAAGTCCAATGCTGCAATTTCAGTAACATCTGTACCTTCTCCCCCTTCGAAATTGTCTCTCATCCTTGAGAGCACATCTGGAACAGTGTTCTCTACTCCTTTCTGATAGATGATCTTCACATCCATCATGGAGAACTCTTCAATCCATTGAGTAAGGCATTGAGTGACAACCTTTTGTTGCTTGAGGTAAGCAAGAGAAGCATGATCTGTCAAGACTGTTGTCTGACTGACTGCTCCTTCTAGGTAGATATACCATTTCCACCATGCATACAGCACAGCAAGAAGTTCACGTTCTTGTGCTGGATAGTTTTGCTCTGCAGATGTGAGCTTGCAGGACTCAAAGGCTATGGGGTGCCAATGTCCAGCTTTATCTTGCTGAGCAAGTTCCACACCAATTGCAAAGTCCAAAGCATCTGTTGCAACTCAATATGGCTTGTTCATGTCTGGTGGTGTCAGGGCACCAGCTCATTGCTTGGTCAAGAGACATGACTAAGCCTTTATGACATGGAAGTAGCTGGTATACCTTGGCATGTGCTGGAACCTGCTGGAAGGATTGGATGGTCAGGTGACCTGCTGTGCATGGCTGTGCATGACCTCATATGACCTCATCCTTGGTCATATGACCTGATCACCTGACTAGGCTGAGTAAGCAAGATGTTCTAGCAGGTCCACC